CATCATTTGTTTTTATTTTTATTTCTTTTTCATATATATATATATATATATATATATATATATATATATATCCTGACAAAAAATGACAAACAAGCAAAGGACTCTGGTAGTTTGAAAGAAAATGCCCCTACTCCCCCCAGGGAGTGGCACTACTAGGAGATGTGGTCTTATTGGAGTAGGTATGGCTTTGTTGGAGGAAGTGTGTCACTATGGAGACGGGCTTTGAGGTCTTTTGCTGAAGCTTCATTCAGTGACACAGTAGACTGACTACCTGTTGCCTGCAAGACGTAGGACTCTCAGCTACTCCTCCAGCACCACGTATGGCTTCATGCGACCACGCTCCCCACCATGATGACAATGGACTGAACCTCTGAACTGTAAGCCACCCCAATTAAATGTTTTCCTTTATAAAAGTTACCATGGCCATGATGTCTCTTCACAGCAATAGAAACCTAAACTAAGACAAGGGCTAACAATTCCAGGTTCTAGTCCATCACAGCAGGGAAGTCAGGGCAGGAACTTGAGGCAGCTACTTACTTCATATCCGGTCAAGGGCAGAGAGAAATGAATGCTGCCTGGAATGCAACTAGCTTTACTTTTATACAATCTAGGATTTCCTGTCCACTTCCTTAGATGCCATCCACAGTGGGCTTGTCCTCCCACACATCAAGTAATCAAGACAATCCCCTATAGACATACTCGAAGGCCAATCTCATCTAGACAATTCCTCACTGAGAGCCTCTTCCTATGGGAATCTCCATTTCGGCAATTTAATGACGATTTAAAACTGTCACATAAATATCCCAAATACCCTACCCTGCCCACTCAACATAGTATTCCGGCAAGGCTGTCCTCCAGAGATGAAGGGGAAGCAAAAACTTCCCCAAACAAAAGCCAAGGTAGCTCATCACTATTAAACCTACCCTGAAGAAACTGCTAATGGATACTCTTAAAACCAAAATACAAGTGAACTGTAAAGGGGGTTTTAAAATTATTTTTCTATAGCATAAAAGACAGAAGTATTCAAAATACAACAACTACATTAAATTGTTAATGGATACATCAAGGAGGGGGTGTGAGTTGTTACACAACCAAATGCAAGGGGTGTGTACACTGTGGAGAAGCAGTAATGTAGTTTCTGTATGTGATTCAGTTAAGTCGCTGTCAGCTGTTGTAGCTACAAGATCTTTATGCAAGCCTCGAGTTTATTACAAAGAAAAAAACCTGCAATGGAGGCAGAAAAGGTAAAGAGAAAGGAATCAAAGTACACCAGTACAAAAGACTCATAAAAACCAAAGTGAAACAAAAACAGAGGCCAAGGAACAAAGGACCAGGGGCCCTAAAGCAGAAGACAACTGACAAAACAGCAATAGCCTTACCTGGCAGAAACCAACTTTCTTTCCATTTTTACAGGGTTAGGAACTGAAATCTCAGCAGCATGCAAGTGGTTTGTTATCTAGAAAGCCCGGAAGATGCCATATCTCTAACCCTGATAATATAAAAAGCTTGACCTCTCCACCAAAAGACATACCCTCCTCCCCACCTTCCCAAGACCCAACTATCGCTGCACACCAGGGACTCTGTACAGTTAAGGACACAGGCAGAAAGTGGAAAGGGAATGGGGTGGATACATGCACACAGACACAAAGACTGCCCTCAACTGTCCCAAGTACCACATTCCCGCCACCCCTCAAAACAACCTCTACCAAAATCCACGGCATTTCCTCCCACAGAAACAGGGGAAAAAAATAAAATAAACAAACAAAACCCCCAAATCCATTTATAGCACCAGAAGACTACAAAGAACTAAGTGATCTTGAGAAAAACAAAGCCAGGGTTTCACCCTCCTGATTTCAGACTACACCACAGTGCAGTCATTAGAGCAGAATGGACAACAGACCTACAAGAGGATCAAAACACGACCAACTAATACTTACACAGGGCGAAAAGAACAGACCAAAGGGAAATCGTCGTGTTTTCAGTAAGCAGTGCTGGAAAAAACCAGATAGCCACATGCTAAAAGACTAAAATTAGATACCTAAATGACAATAAAAATCAACTCCCAATTGATCAAAGCCTTAAGGTAGGCATGACACTGTGGGTCTGCAGGAAATCACAGGGCAAAGGCTGTTTGACACTGGACTTGGCAATATCTTTGGATATGAATTCCACAGCGGAGACAAATGAAAACGTAAACAAGGGGGATAGCATGGAGCTAATACGATTCTACAAGGAAACAACAGTATAAGGCAGCCTTCCGGGGCTGGTAAGATAGCTTAGTGGGTAGAGATGCTTGTTCCTAGGTGATCTGAGTTCAATCCCCAGGGCCTACCTACAAGGTTGGTTCCTACCTTTGAGTTGTCCTCTGATGGCCGTATGTACACCATGGCACATGCACACCAAAAAAATAAAATGTAATAAGGCAGCTTTCAGGATGGGTGAAGGCATTTGCAAATCCTGTATCTTATATGGGCTTAATATGCAAAATACATAAGGGACTCATACAACTAAACAGAAAAACAAACAACAAACCCCAAAATTTGATAAAAAAACAAAATGGGGCAAAGAATCTGAATAAGTTTTCCCCCAAAGTAGATACAAAATGGCCAACAGGAGTGAGGAAAGGCTGCACATCACTAATCTTGAGGGGAATGCAAATCAAAACCATACTGAGGCATTGCCTCACGCCTGTCTGTATGGCTCCTGCTAAAACAGAACATAACAAATGACGGAAGGGTGTGAACCAAAGGGAGTCCTTGTACTGTGTGGGTGGGATGGAAATCGGCATAGCCATTATGCAAAACAGTGGGCAAGTAACAAGAGGAATGCCATGGGGTCCAGTATGCTGCTGGGACTGCCAGAGACACAGCTCCACCATGCTCACGGCAGCAGCACCCACGAGAGCCGAGGGCCCACAGATAGACATGGTCTGCATGCACACTCATCCTTCTCAGAGACAACAGTCCTGTCTTTTGTGACCACATGGACAAGATGGACGACACCATGCAGAGTGAAACACGCCAGACACTACATGACTTCACCTTTCCATGGACTATAAAACAAACCCAAAAGCAGAGTAGGAAGTGTTTGTCAAGGGCTGGGGCAGTGATGTTCAAGGGTACCATCACTCAGCTATGTAGAGGAGTTCTGGCGTTGACTTTAAAGCATGGGGACCACAGCTAACAGCTGTGTCATGTACTTAAACGCACCCAATGTTACCTGACTTCATCACCCGTACCTAAGCCACAGCAATAATGAAGGGGTGGGAGTGGACTTTGAAGATGGTGACAGTTTTATGTGGGCATACTTATTCCCAAAACTCATCAAATTGTACACACTGAAATGGTTTATATGTCAACCAGATTAAAGTGGTTTAGAATAAGATGGAGAGATGGCTGAGCAGGTGAGAGCACTCCTAGAGGACCCAGTTTCAAAGCACTCACAACATACACGCAAGCAAAACACTATACACATAAAAAAACAGGCCATAGGTTCCTTGCCTTACACTCAGATAATATGGGCATCTAGGAGGTAACAGTGTTATCAAGTGGAGGAAAGGGCGCTGCTGCTTATCATATAATGAGAATAAACACAGGCTGGGAAGTGGTGGCGCACGACTTTAATCCCAGAAGCAGGCAGATCTGAGTTTGAGGCCAGCCTGGTCTACAAAGAGAGTTCCAGGACAGCCAGGGCTACACAGAGAAAACCTGTCCAGAAAACAAAACAAACAATAACCCTCCCTCCCCTCAAAAAAGAATAAACACAGAAGAATTAGAAAAATTCCCTCAGACACTGTCCAATCAAGAGTCATCACAGAAGGGAAACCCTGTGATGTGTAGTAGATGGCCATCTTTATCCAACATGTTTTTTTTGTTGTTTTTTTCAGGAAGTCACATGATAAAGGGAAGAATCTGGTGACAAGCCAAGTATGAACAATCTTACACAGCCCTGTGGCAGTAGTTTCTGGGATAGTGGAAGCCAGTCTCTCCTGCAGGGACTCAAGCCAGCCTCAGAGGTGATGACGTACTACAGAAAATAGCTTATAAAAAAGGTTTATTTTAAATAAAGTTTACATCTTTATTTTATAGACAAAACTCTCCATTAAAAAAAAAAAGTGATTTTATACACATGTTTGAGACAAGGTTTCTTTATCTAGTCCCAGCTGTCCTGGAACTTGCCTTGTGGACCAGGTTGGCTTTGAACTCGTAGATTCACCTGCCTCGGCATCCCATGTGCTGAGATGAAAGGTGAGTGCTACCATGCCTAGTTTATACATTAGTTCTTAATGTTTAAACACACACACACACACACACACAGAGAGAGAGAGAGAGAGAGGAGAGAGAGAGAGAGAGAGAGAGAGAGAGAACTGGTATCTCAGCACCTTGCAGTACTTTTCAATTGTAGGTATAATACATTTTTAAAAGTACGTATTTGGGGGCCTAGCGTGGTGGTACACACCTTTAGTCCCATCACTTAGGGCAGGGAAAGGTATGGCAGGTGGACCTCTGTGAGTTAGAGGCTAGGCTTATCTACATATTGAGTCCCAGGACAGTTAGGGTTTCATGGAGATACTCTGTCTCAAAAAACAAACAACAATAACAATAACAAAAGGGTACATTTGGGGCTGTAGATATGGCTTAGTGGTTAGTGTCTACTATTCTAAGAGGACCTAAGGTTGGTTTCCAGCACCCACACTAGCAGCTCACAACTACCTGGGACTCCAGCTCCAGGGATTCCTTTTTTGGCCTCCAAAGACACAAACGTGTCCACACACTAACACATAAATAAAATTTATAAAAAGTTAAGAAAATACACTTTTCTTTTCTGTGTGAAGTTGAGGAGCCAGCCCAGGGTTCAAGCAAGTGTTCTGCTACGGAGCTTTACTCTCAGCCTTAAATCTATATATTCTATCAATTTGATAGGATCTAGAGTCACCTGTGGGCAGACCTCTGGAAATGGCTATAAGGGAGTTTCCTGATTGGGCTAATTGAGGTGGTCACCTATCTTGAACATGAGTGGCACCTTCCCATGGGCTGGGGTCTTGGACTTAATAAAAAGGAGAAAGTGAGCTGAGCACCTGTGTCCATCTCTGTTTCCTAAGATGCAATGTGACCAGCTGCTTGAGTTCTTGCTGCACGACACTCCACCACGACAGACTGTGCCTACATAGTATGAGCCCCAGGTAAGCCTCTTTCTGCTACTCTTGCAAGGTGTTTATCATAGCAACAAGGACAGCAGCAGACACTGCTGGCTCCTCAGGGCTCAATCCTCAGGGACCTGCATGGAGACCTACGGACTACACATGGTCACCTCAAGCACAGTTACAGGACACACTGTTCAAAATTCAAACAGAAGAGGTGACCCGCATAAAAACCAGGGAGCGGCATCCCTGGTTTGTTTTCACCTTCCTGGAATGTGTACTCTACACGGGACACTGCTGGGCAGAGGGAAGGGCTCTGATTTCTACTTCTATTTAGTTGTTTCTCAACAAGTGAAGGCTGGGGTTAGTCAAGTCTACAGCATTTGAAAGAGAAGCAAACTTTAAGGCTGTAGAATAAAGAGTATTCATTCATCCAAGGCCATTCCTTCTTCCTCCGACTGTTGTACCTCAGAGAGCCCATGCTAATTCCCACCCACCACAATCACTTACAGTCACATATGTTCATATGTCTCTCTTTTCTCACCAAGTACCCAATATCTACCTGAAGCTGTCCTATCAAATAGTCCCCAAGGTGCGATTGATGAATGGGAGATATCAGATCCTAAGCACCATAGTTAGTAATTTAGATTTTGAACTTTTTTTTAACAGAGTCTCACGATTTGCTCTAGCTGTCCTGGAACTATGTAGGCCAGGCTGGCCTTGAACTCACAGATTTGCCTGCCTATGCTTCCTGAGTGCTGAGATTAGAGGCATACACCACCAAGCTTGGCCCAGCTTCTGAACTTTTAACCAGTATTTCAGAAGATAAAAAAAAAAAAAAAAAAAAGCCATCAATTTATGATCTTGCCCCTCTTCTCATGGCTTAATGCCCCATCTTCTCTCCCCTTTCCTTTTGATCTGCTATATACATACATACATACATACATATTTGAAATACACAGTACAACCCTAAGTTCAAAAAAAAAAAAAAAATCTGAAAGTATAGTATTTAAACCATGACAGAACATGGCATAATTCCTCCTGCTCTTACAGAGGCAGGACAGGCCTTTGAATTCACAAATGACATCTCTTGGTCAAATGTTCCCTTATCATTTGGCTACATTCTCAGGATGGCTTTGCCCTGTAAAGACTTGGATGCAAGGCCTGCCCTCTCTCTCAGCAGACTGGCTTCCTCAGCACTTTGGAGAGTCTGTGTGTGCTTCAGTAAGAAGTGGCTAATGAAGAGCTTCAGGCCTTCTTGCAACATTCCCAGCTTTGGGTTTTCAGACACTCTGAAAAGGAATTGGAGACACAGGTCAGGGAGGGGCTGGTCTTCCAGATCTCAGTGCCTGGTACTTCAAGCATCAAGGCAAAACCTACTTTTAAGCATTTGTTTTTTGGATGATGGACCCAAGGTCTTATATAAGACAGGCAAGTGCTCTGCTACCGAGTCACCCCCAGCCTGCCCCTTACTTAAGGGAATCTATTTTTAGACAGAATCTTGCTGTGCTGCCTAAGCTGGCCTCGAACTCCTGAACTCAAAAGATCCTCCTTTGCTCAGCCTCTAGAAAAACTGTTACCTCAGGAATGTCACTACAGCTGGCTTCTTTTTTAAAGACAAAGCAGCCTAGGGTGGCTTCAAATTTGGAACACTCCTGCCTCAGTCTCCAAGGTGCTAGGATTATTGATTGGTACATGTTACCATAACTGGTTGCACCCATCTTCTTTTGAAGTAGGATTCTTGTCTGACCTCAAATTCACCAGGCTGGCCTTGAGTTTATACAATTCTTTTGTCTCAGATTCTTAAATTCTGGGATTACAGTACGAACCCAGATGCCCAGCTTTCATTTAAGAACTTCCTGAGGGTTGGGGACGAGGCTCAGTGTGGAAGCACATGCTCAGCACAGAGGCCTGGGCCTAAGTCCCAGCATCTCATAAGAAGAAAAGGAAACGAAACCCAAGGAACAGCTTGCCACAAGCAGTGAAATGGGAGTAACCTCCACTCTTGCTCAAATGGCAATCAATCTCTCTGCTCTTTTTTCATGTCTTATCAGGAAACACTGGGCACATACCTTGAGAAAATTAAACCTAGGTCTTCTTCTTCTGTTTCCATCAACAGCTCAGTCAACACTCTCCGTAGGAAGTGGACTCTGGGTTTATCTAATTCACTGAATTCAACCACCTAAGGGTCAGGAGATAAGAAAACATCATCCTGCTGATTCAGTGCTACCATGATGTGTGTGACGCTTCTTGCTCTCTGCAACACCAACTGCTGGCAAGTACACGGAGGACTGCTGGCAGGATGGGTAGGCTAGCTCCTAGGCTACAATGGCAACAGGGGTCATAGCTACAGGGGATATACACTCCAAACCCGAGGTTTACTTAGCAGAAGGGAAACAGGTATCGCCTGTGTCCTCTGAAGTAGTCACTCTTCAGGTACAACTCATAGAGGGTGTAGCTTATAGGAGAGGAAAATTAGCACCCAGTATGTACGTGTTTCCCAAAAAGCATCAGGAACAGTACAAAGCATGTCAATTTTAGCAGTAGGATAAGCACTCTATAATTCCACCATGGTGGACTTCCACACAGAAGTCACTGCTCCGAGAACCACAGACATTAACATGGAGAAAACACAAACGAAGATGAACTTAAATAGAACTTCACAAGCTTTTCCAAACATGCTTTCCTTAACACTTTGGGCTTTTCCTCCAAAATTTTGGGTTTCTTTATTCTTTCTCTAACACCACCAATCCAATCCCATGGCTGCTTATTTTGTTTTGTGACTGACCTCCATGCCAGCTTAAATGGCATGGTCATTTTTCCTTCTCTCTTCCAGACAGCTGCTGAGATTTTACAGCTTGCCTGTAGTTGTTCTTCCTTTTTAAAATGCTAGCCGGGCGTTGGTGGCACACACCTTTAATCCCAGCACTTGAGAGCAGAGGCAGGTGGATCTCTGGGAGTTCGAGGCCAGCCTGGTCTACAGGACGGCCTCCAAAGCCACAGAGAAACCCTGACTCAAAAAAAAACAAAAAACAAAAAACAAAAAAAAACCAAAACAACAAAAAAAAAACCCCAAAACAAAACAAAACAAAAATTAATAAAATTGCCCATGCTCTTCAGTTCTTCCAGAGGCCCTGAGTTCAATTCCTAGCATCCTAGCAACTACATGGTGGCTGACAACCATCTATAATGAGGTTTGGTATCCTCTTCTGGCATGTAGCCATATATGCTAGAACACTGTATACATAAAAAATAAAAATACAAAAAAATTGCTGAGCTCTTAAAGAGAGAGAGAGAGAGAGAGGGAGGGAGGGGGGAGATGGAGGAGAGAGAGGTGAGGGAGAGAGCGAGATCTGCAGAAGTACAGTGTATGGTAACAAGGTAGTGCCTAGAGAGGCTTGACCTATGCAGAAAAGCATGCCTAGGAACAAGGATAAACACATTAGAGTGGCTGCCTGAGAAAAGCTAAGGACACACACAAGAGCCCAGGAACACGGTCAGCAATGTGTCTAGGGCCCTGTGACAGCTATTCTTGGTCGTCAACTTGACTACATCTGAACCTAAAGCCCCACCCGTGAGGGATTTTCTGCTTAATCTGAAATAGGAAGATCCACTTCTAACCTAGAGCTTGGGGTGGGAAGATTCACCTTTAATCTGGGCCACACCTTCTGCTGGAAGTCACATAGGACATGCAAGAAGGGAGCTTTTTGCTCTCTGCCTGTCTGCCCTGCCTTGCTAGCAAGTCCATTCCTTCACCAGCATTGGAGCTACTTTTTCAGAATTCCACATATACTGAAGATCAGCTGAGATTATTTAACCCATGGACTAAGCAATACTAGATTCTTGGATTTTTATGCTCACAGACAGCCATTGTTGGATTAGTTGGAGTGTACACTGCAAGCCATTCTAATACCCCTGCCCCCGCCACACACAGATTTATTCTATATGTTGTTACTGTAAAGAACCCTGACTAATACAGCCCTATCTCCCACAACTGGCTCCTGCCCACTTCTCAAAGTCACAAGGAAACTGTCAAGGACAAATACAGGACAAAGAAGGCTGCCCTGCAGACCAGCAATGTCACAGAAGGACACTGAACTTAGGTCCCTGACTTGTCTCTGCTATTTACCTCCTTTAGGTTTTTTTAGGCTACTGCAGCACACCTTGAACCCCACCTCCTGTGCCTGGCTTCCCTGTTTTCTGTACCGATACCTCTGGTGGGGAACTTACAGCCTTATGGTATTTTGCACTGAAGATCCACAACTATGTCATTAAAAGGAGGGAAGTCTGTCCTAGCCAGTATTATGTCAACCTGACACAAACCACAGTCTTCTGAGAGGGGGGAGCCTAAGTTGAGAAAATGTCTCCATAAAATAAGATTGATTCAGGAGGGCCCAGCCCATTGTGGGTGGGGCCATCTTGGGATCCATAAGAAAGCAGGCTGAGCTGCATTCCTCCAGGACCTGCTTCTGCTTCCAGGTTCCTGTCCTGACTTTCCCTTGGCGATACCTAGAAGTGTAAGTGAAATAAACCCCTTCTTCCCCAAGTTGCTTTTGGTCTTTGTGTTTATCACAGCCATAGTAACTAACCCTGAAGACAAAGTCCTCCTTCACTTCATGCTCCCAGCTGAGCTGTGACCAGTTCAGCATCGTACAATTACGACGAAGAACCTGTAACTGGGCTGATGCCATGGCTCAGCAGGTAAAGTCATTTGCTGACAACCCTGATAACCTGAGTTGATTTTCAGAACACATGTGGTGGAAAGAGAACCAATTTCTGATGGTTGCATTTTGACCTCAGCATATGCAAGCCTCCCATCCCCCACATGAAATAAATAATGTAAAGCAAAACAAAACCAAAAAAATAGTGCAAACCCCATAACTAGTCACTAATTTACTCTAAGTAAATTTACATTATATATTGATTGGATATTTTCTGTGAAGGCTATGCTAATGAAAACATTTTCATAGCTAGGGGTAGTAGGTGTGGATGGCGGTGGCAGGGGCACACACCTTTGACCCCTGTGCTGGTGAGGCAGAGGCATGCAGATCTCTGAGTTGAAGGACAGCCTGGTCTATGGAGGGAATTCGAGGACAGCCAAGGCTACAGAGAAACCCTGTCTCAAAAAACAAAACAAATAAAAACCAAAAAGAAAAACATTTCAGAAGCTCAGAAAATGCATTTTTAAAATAGACCAAATAAAAAAGCATTCTACAAATTTCTTCCATTATACATACCTTTAGGATAGAAAGTGGAAGTGACTTTGTCTTCAACAAGTGTGCTACCAGATGAGCCAGATTTGAGAACTTAGTGGCTGTCAAATTTTCTAGGTCCCGAAATTTGTCCCATATGCCGAACTGGAAAGTCATCTAATTAACAGTAAAGAAGAAAAAAGGTAAATGTAACAAATCACTGGAACAACTCACGATGAACATACTCTAAAGGTACCCTATTTCTTACCCCTCGTTGTCAATAACCCAAATCAGGTCTAAAAGCAACTTCACTGTCCCTTCCTGTCATCATCATAGAAGCCCCTTTTGGTTGTAGTTTTGTCTCACAACGTCATCATATAGCTTTGAAGAAAGGTTGTTACCAACAACCAGTTATTAGAGATCAGTGCCCTGAAACACTACAGAAGTGCCGAGCAGCCTGACCACAATCCTCCCAGCTGAAACAGATAAGATTTCTTGGGATGTTCTGGACCCTTGTTACCATGCCCCCCTGTTCTATCTTCTCTCCAATGCAGGGAAGCCTGGCCAAGATCCGTGATGGGGACACGGGTTCCTGGTATCTTTACCAGGCAGATGTATTGGTAGTCTTCTCAATTACCTGGAATCTCCTTTCATAGCTGCAGAACTTGCTAGCCAGGAAAGCGTAGAAAGGATTATAGGTTTTTTCCTGCAGGCAGCAATCCATGAGGATGTGAACAATCTCTCTCTCCTGCTGGTCTTTCAGCCCAAGCCTGCAAACAAACAGCCAGACTAAGAATGTTTTCTACTTTCAATTTTTTTGGCAAAATCGGCCCCTCCCTGTCTGAGGAATCTAGTAGAAAGTGAACTGATAAAGATGGTGGTGACAGTCACATATTGGGCCACAACCCAGTCTTGTCCCTGGCTTCTATGGGCCTCAGTTTTCCTAATATGACGAAATGTGTGAGGCACAATGTAACACACAAATTATAAAGTAGCTACAATCCTCAATGCTGGTTCTTGCAGATAATACACAGAATTCTCCTGTGATGCCATGAAGCTGAGTGTGGTTAAGGTAATGACTTTACTTTTTGATTTTTTTAAATGTATTCTTCAAATTTTTTATTTTTTATGTGTATGGGTGTTTTGCTTGCATGTATGTTTGTGCCTCACCTGCATGTCTACCGCCCATGGAGACCAAAAGCAGGCACCTGAGGCCCTAGAACTGGAGTACAGTTTTGGTGAGCTGCCTGTGGGTTTCAGTAATCATATCTGGGTTCTGTGGAAGAGCATCACCAATTGCTCCATCTCACCAGACACTTACTTTCTGAGGTTTTTGTTTTTGTTTTGTTTTGAGACAGAGTTTCTCTGTGTTGGTTGTTCTCAGGTTGTCCTGCAACTTGCCCGGTAGACCAAGTTGGCCTTGAACTTAGACGCTGGGTCCCAGCCCCCACAGGGTCTCTGGGAGTGGCATCCTGCATTCTAGTCCTGGCTTACAGTACCACTTCACCTGGGGAAAACACCAGCTCCTCCATCAGGGTTTTTCCACTGTGCTATAAGCGTATATAAGGCTGCTCTCTCCCTGGAAAATGGCAACTAATAAAGATGGAAAGACACAAGTGGCCGGATGGCTAGGTTTTTAACTAAATCTCCAGGCTTTCGCCTGATACTCAGACTTAGTCGAGGCAAGAACGCCACAGTCAGAGATCCTAGTGCTGGGATTAAAGGCATGTGCAACCACACCTGGCACTTTCTGACTTTTATAATTTAAGGTGACTTTCTCACTTTTATAACTTAAGGTGACAGCTGTGATGCCACATAACAATAACCCAACACTCAGGAAAATGAGGGGGAGATTTGTGAGCTCAAGACCAGCTTGACCTATACAGGGAACCTGACTCAAACTCCCTGACTCAAACACCCTTCCCCCAGGGAAAACGCACAACAAAATGAATGCATTCTTTTCTGTGTAGTCCTGTGAGTGTGGATAGGCCCACAGGGTCAGGCAGCAGCACCACAGTGGAAACGCAGGAAGTTTTACAACCCCTACACCCCCCTCCTTTGCAGCAGGGCATCTCCCTGAAACATAGGCCACCATGGATGTATTTCTGTGCCTCTCTAATTCTGCTGTGTCAACATGTCAACAGTCATGGAGTGGCTGTCCAAGTCCGGCTAACCTTCCTTTAACAAAATCCCTCAGAGACAGACACTGACTGGGGGACTCGGTGCTACCTACATTCAGCAGTTAGGTCTCAGAAACATAAGCAATCTCAAGGTTTCCATATCAATAAGGCCTAGTTCAGAAAACCTAATCAGGCCAGGCAGTGGTGGTGTATGCCCTTAATCCTAGGGCTCTGGGGACAGAGGTAGGCAATCTCTGTGAATTCGAGGCCAGCCTGGTCTACAGAGTGAGTTCCCGGACAGCCTCCAAAACTACACAGAGAAACCTTGTCTTAAAAAACAAAAAAATTAAAATAAAACAGAAAACCCAAACAAGACTTGCAGTTATTTCTAAATTGAGTCAATAAAGGATTTGACATTCAATTGTTTATAAACACTTTGTAAAATTTACAACTAATTATAGAAACTATATTGTAAGTTTTATATTAAGAGAAAGATAGAGATAACAATTACAGCCTTGACAGATTATCAGGTGGCTGGTTACCTAACCCTGCCAGCCAAGCTCTCACATGCTACTTATCAAGGGCACACTAGTAGGGTCTTATGAAGGTCACATGGGCTCAGAAACCCAGGTGAGAGGAAAGTAATGGGAAAGACTCAGTGGCTCAATTACCCAAAGCTAAAACCTAGATCAACGAGTTGTGTTATGTTTATTAAATAACAGAGGAAAATGTTCACACCAATGCTTACTTCAGCAGCTTCTCAAAAGCATCCAAGAAGTCCTCACTTGTCATTATAGTGCAGAAGATGTTCCTCCTGACATCAGTGTTCATTCTCTGCTTCTTCGCAAGTTCCAGCATCTTGGAGCTGACCTGAAGAGAAAGAGATCAGTGTCCAGACCCTCCCATCATCCCACTGGAAGCAGTCTCCACAGAAACAGGACACTGTAACATAGCACAGCACAGCATGTTTCTGAACTTAAATTTCTGAAGTGTAACATACACATTTGAGCATATGTGACTGTAAGTGGTATGTACACGTATGCATGTAAATGCCACGTCTGTCTGTATTCTTAGGCAATTCCTACACAGGGAGAAAAGTTCAGTGGAGGCCTCCTCAGGAGGTGGCTCTGATCTGTGCATCAGACCTGTGCATCAAATGAAGTTCAAGTTCACATATTAGCTGCTGCCAGCATCTGGGAGCCACAACTAGCAAGTGAGACGAGGGTGCCCAGAAAGGAAAGACAGTTGGAACTGGAACCTACACCTCTTGGGAACAGCATGTGCCCTAGTTCCAACAACAGCTCCTCTCAAATTAATTTCATTTTCACCCCTTTCTCATTCTATTCAGTTTCTAGATTTTGTTTGAATTGGGCTTTGGAACTTTTTTTTTCATTTTGGTTTTTCAAGACAGGGTTTTACTTAGTAGCCCTGGCTGTCCTGTATCACTCTGTAGACCACGCTGCCCTTGAACTCACAGAGACCTACTAGCCTCTACCTCTGGGAGTGTTGGGATTAAAGGTATGCACCACCTCCGCCCCACAGGCTTTGGGACTTTTAAAACTTCTTAAGACTGAGAAGCTGAATAAATCGTATGCCAACAGAAGCTACTTCTATGAAGCCTCCTGATAAGCCTGTCTGGAACATTTTCAAGAACACTCAGGAACAACAGCGAGCTATTTTAGGCAGAGCAGACTTCTGACACAGTAGGTCAGGCAGCCAACAGGGGTCTTCATACCGTTCCTGCAAGTGGCTTCTGTAGTTGTGTTTGATGACTGTTGTCAATCATTGGGGTCCCACTCCACGCAGACCCCACAATCCACCAGCGCCCAGTCTGCTCCGCATTTAAGATGCCATCCCAGGAGATTCGGAGCTGAGTCTCAGAACCAGAGCCAGCATTGCGCACCTGATGGAAAGAAAAGGCTTCATGAAATAAGTGCTTTGGCTGCCTCACTGCACTTCTGTCATGCTTTGTCTGAAAATGGCAGTTTCCCTGTATGACTATGGCAACGAATGGACAACTGGAATAGTTAGCCTGTTTGGAAAAATGACAGAAAGAGTCGCCAACTCTCAGTGTTCTGTTTGTGAAATCTATGGGTTCATTATCCAAATGTGTGTGACCTGAGCTCTGCAACAATTACTATGTGACTAAAGACTTAGAATGACTGAGGTAACCATCCAAGGCTGCATGGCAAGACTACAGCCTGGACATCTGAGGAGCTTCCTGGTTCCAGGTGGGGTGTGGCCTTCTGAGCATCAACAGAGGATCTTATCACACAGCCTTAGCACCTCAGGAGACTTGTACTGAGCACTCAACCAACCTGATGATTCCTGTGCATGGAGATTCCACAATCTCACTACAGGCATATAGTTTCTGAGACTTGTGCTGGACATAGTGTGACCACTGTCACACTGGGTTAGGATGGCATAGAGGCCCAGGACAAACCAGAATAGGGTGTCACTCACCAGTGCTCTCTGTAACTTCCTTAGTTTCTCCACAGGCTCAGGATCATAGCCAGGGATTTTACGCATGTCATTGTTCTTCAGAGCCAGCATTGTCTCCAACATGAACCGCACCTTAAAGGAAAAGGAAAACCACTTGAACTCATCATTTAACAGTCACTGAGGATTCCACGTGGCAAGAAACACACCACTGATGAGAGCACTGATAACCTGGAGGTGGTCTGTGATACCTTTAACATCTCAAAGTGGTAGAATATTCTAAAATAGACGCATCTTACTATCCAGAGGTCTTCCCTCCTCCACTCCCATAACCCCAACCCTGGGATAAGGGTGACCCAGAATCCTTCTTTGCAAACACTTCAAGACTCATCTAGATGCCAAGCTGACTATTCAGAAGCAGTCATCTTCCCTTTCAGCTTCAGATTTCCTCCTGGATGTCCTGCAGGGTGACCCTAAACGCCCATCCATGTCCCTGCTCCTCCAAAAGTCACTCACTCCAGACTCCCAAGCCTACACCCACCATCACCACACTTACACATGCTTTTTTGTTTAGAGATTCCTGAAGTCCTGAGCCCTGCTCTGGCTCCATCTTTTCTACACTGGAGTCAAAGTGGCCACCAAAGTAGAACATCTGCCAATAACTATCTGCTCAGATCTTACTCCAACCAAGAAAAAAACCTGGCTCCCTGGGCCCTATGTTCTCTCTGGTCAAGCCTCCCAAGTTCCCACAATGGTGCTCTTCAGCGTGGCATTCTCCTTCCTCCATGAGGACTTCTCAGGTGCTGTCCTAACCCCTCAGATAGGGTCAGAGCTGTGAGCCTATTTTATAGAGGAAACTGACTGGCAAGACTAAGCCTATGCTGCTCAGAAGCAGTGTCACACATCAGACCCAGGCTGACACCCAAGCCTGGGAAACAGCTTCTGAGAGAGCAAACAAATCAGTTATAATCATAAAAGATGTATGGTTCTTAATGAAGAAACAAGGTTCAAGCAGAGTATGGTGGTACAAACCCATAATCCCAGCACTCAGAAGAGGATCAAGGGCTTGAGGCCAGCCTGGGCTACATAGCTGAGACTCCATCTCAAAAAACCTAGGAAACAAAAGCAAATTCCTCAAAACCAAGGTCAGACTAAAGACAAAGCCACAGGTAAGTCAGAAGAGAACAGAGAGCATTAAGGTATGAACTGGTGTTCGGCCAGATATTCATTTGTGCTCTTTCTCTCTGTGTACTTCGTGGGCACTTAGCAGGTCAAGTGGCACTCCTACCCTGTTCTGGTCCTGAAACTTGCTGCCTGCCCCACTGGCTTTGGCCTGGGCATCTGTGATCAGCTGCTTAAGTGACAGGGCGTCATCTTTTCTCAATGCAAAGCCCACATTTTTCAGCATCAGCAGGATCAGCTCAATGTCTTTTTCCGTAAAAGTTCCAACAAGCTTCTTCAAAATGTCAAAGATGAGGAGAGACTGTACCACGTGGAAGTTGTACAAGTGGGCAATCATGGTAAACAGGTTGTCCAGCTCTTTCCCCTCACCTCCATCTTTATAGACATCATCAAACTTCTTCACCACAGCCTCCAGGAAGCAAGCACCGACCTGAAGGGGACGGAAGAAATGTCATCATGTCATTCTGGGACCCTGGCCTGTCAAAGGCACAGATACCCGGTAAGTGCAACACGGACACAGGTGGGATAAGAACTCTAGCAGGGGAGTTGGTAGCTAAGAATGCAGACTTGAGTAACTCGGGCTTCACATACTGATGAGAAGATTCTATGATTCTCCATAGCAGACATGGTACCGACTGCTTGCCTCAGCATACAAAATTTTTCTGTAAAAATATTCTCATTTTTTTTAGAAACAACAACAAAGTGGGCTCCCTAGAAAAATTTCTTTTTCTTTCTTTCTTTCTTTTTTTTTTTCAAGACAGGGTTTCTCTGGAACTAGCTCTTGTAGACCACGCTGGTTTCGAACTCACGGAGATCCACCTGCCTCTGCCTCCAGAGGTGTGCACCACCACCACCCAGCGAAAAATTTCTTTAAAAAAGGTGATGGCGAGATGGCTCTGCATAAAGGAGCTCGCTTCCCACCTGATGATCTGAGCCTGATGTCAGGATCTACTTAAAGCTGATAGCCAGGGGACAGCACCAAGCCAAGAACTAGCAGATGCCTGATGAAGCTGGCCAAGGTCACTATGGCACTGTCCTTTTGCTGTTCTGGAACATTCTACTTACAATTTCTAAGTATATGCTGGAGAGGAAGAAGGCCAGGATTTCAACCAGTGGTGGTTCTGAACAAAGGCAGTGACCCTCCTGCTAGTAGCATTGTCTTGTGACTACCTTCTCCAGCAGGACATCCAGCTGGGAGATGAGTAAGGCAGCTGGGACCGATGGGAAAGAAAGGGCTGCTCATAAAGTGACCTGGGCCAGACTGGCAGGGCAGGCATCACTGGGTATAATTCCCAGTGATTTGGTCTGGATCTCCAGGAACTAGACAGGATTAAGTAGGTTGTGGGGTGCTGGTCAAAATCTGGTTCATGTCAGTTGGACTTGTGCATATTTATGCTAAAACTCACATAAGGTAAGACATGTAGATGTACAAGGGTAAATGAGACACACATATAACTCAGAGTGTAATGGGCAAGTGCACATAGGATTGCTAGACTGCAAAACAATGGAGCTACAAAGACTGGCAATACTGATTTCTGGAGGCCAAAATTAAAGGCCTGAGGCTCTCAGTGAAGAAAAACCTAAGAACACCCTCTCAGCAGTATATCACCACCACCTATGCTCATGAAGAATGTTAACAGTCAGGATGCTTCAGAGAGCAAGAAACATTGAGACACTAATTCAGGTATGTTTTCAGTACACAAATAGGTCCAATTATGTAAAAGGCTAAAATTTGAATTCTATTAATGTTCTTAAAATTAAATATACTAGTATAACCTAGAAATAGGAAAAAAACCCATGTTGCCAACTATGAATTTTAGCACAGATCTGCAAAGGCATGAATGTTAATTGATTGAGAAAAGGAACACAGTAGCTGAGAACACCATCAATATTTTTTTCCTTCCATGAGTTCCTGGGAGGTTTTTCTCAGCACAGTTTAATGGGAACCAGCATCCTGAGAACATAGCATATCTGGCACAAGCTTTAGTGGATGCCATTAGCTAAAGTACTATAATGACTTCCCCTTGAACAAGTCATCTCATTGTCCTTCATGCTATTAGCAAAGGTTTAAATGGGAAGTAGGACCAATAATTTCAGATTTTCAAATCAAGTAAATTCCTGATGTGCTGTGGTGGTCACATCTATGACTTTTAAAATAACTTACTGAAATGCTGTCTGCACTCAAATCACTTTGATTAAGTCTGTAGAACTGTCCCAGTGTGGTATAGGATGGGGGAGGCACCACAGCAGCCAGAGTACAGTGTCAATTACTGTGATTATGGGGCACCAGGAAAGCTGTCCAGGGCATCCATTACACTTTGTAATGGCAAGAAAATGGACTCAGGCATTCACATGTGAAAATAAGCATAGCCCTTGGGGTAGGGGGTGTGGGCACACTACAGAAGCACAATTCCTGAGACAGCCAGTGTAGATCTTGCACAGCAGGGCTTCTGAGGTAGTTACACCACTCTCTCCCCTGTCCTGAGATTCCCAATACCTTCACTTCTCAAACTCACTGACTCCATGCTGGGTTACTATTCCAGATGACATAGTCAGGATATGGAGAAAAGGCACAGATGTACCTCTATTCCAACTGTGTGGTGAAGGATGCTGACTAAAAGGACATGCTCCATCATCAGTCTGCTGGGCATGGCTGAGGCAGTGACACAGGCATCCATGAGGGCATCGGTCAGGGTGTCGTTCATGTGCTTCCTGCTGTGGGCCATGTACAGCTCCTCCAGCTGCCCACTTATAGATGCCATGTTTGGCTCGCTCAGCCTGTAGAGGAGTATGAGCAAAGTGTTACTCAGACATTCTGTTTTATTCCTGGCCCAGAAGCCACCCTGACTCTGCCACAAAAACTTGGTGCATGCTGCTCATAACACACTCTAGAATCCCTAAACAATAATGTAACTGTCTTTTAGCAGAGCACAGCTACTGAAGCATACCCTAGGATCTTCTCTAAGTCTGTACATATGCCCAAAGGAAGCCTGGCCTAGCATCTCCCAGAGGCAGTGATCACTCCTAGGTGGTGAGTTTAAAAACACTGACCTAACTCATCTCTTACTCAACACAAACATACTCTGTTCCTATATACATTGTGTACCTGTGCTTAATACTGAACCTGCTATCAAAACAACAGTGGAATTACGGGATATTGGGGAAACAGCATGAGATTTAATGAAAAAGCAATAAAAAGCACAGAGGGAAGAGGTGGCGTGACAAGGGCTGGCATGAGAGCCTTCTGTGACAGAACAGTCATGCATCTCAATATTGGTGGCGGTCACCCAGATCTTCATGCAACAAAACTCCACAGAATCAGTCTCTACCTCTCTCTTGCAAAAACGATGATGAGACCTGAAAAAAATTGTCATGAGCCGGGTGTTGGTGGCACATGCCTTTAATCCCAGCACTCAGGAGGCAGAAGCAGGCAGATCTGTTTTGAGTTCAAAGCAAGCCTGGTCTAAAGAGCGAGTTCTAAACCCTGTCCTGGGGAAAAAAATGTCAGAGCTGTGTGTCAGTCTCATTTGAGACAGGGTCTCATGTATTCAAAACTGGTCTCCAACTTCCTATGTAGTCAAGGATGATCTTGAACTTCTGATCTTCCTACATGTACCTCCAGAGTCCTGGGATTAAAGACATTACAGGCATGTTTCACTATGCTTGGTTTACGTGATCTGGCAAGTTAGGGCTACAGGCTTTGTGCATGTTAGACAAGTACTCTACCAACTTAGCCACACCCCCAGTTCTCTCTGTGTTTTGTTTTTAACTATAGTGTAGGCTGGAGTGATCCTTCTAAGGACTTCCCTACACTGTTAACGCCCCATGATCTATAATAACAACTTGTTTGTTTTTCCTGAGACGGTTTTCTCTGTGTGGCCCTGGCTGTCCTGGAACTCACTCTGTACGCAGGCTGGCCTCTAACTTGGACATCTGCCTGCCTCGGCTGCCTAAGTGCTGGGATTAAAGGCATGTGCCACCACAGCCTGGCCTATAATAAGCAGCAACAAAAGAACAATATACATTAGAAACGTGACAAAGTTAGAATAGGTGCCATAGACCAGGACAGTAGTCACCTTTAGAGGACTTAGAAGAGGGCCCTGAATGAGGCTGAATGAAAGAAGTGATTCCAGTTCATCTGTGCAACCCTGAGACAGCCAACAGGGAAAGGCAACTAACAAATTGCCACCCACATGGCTTCCAATGAACCTTCTGATTTTTTAAAGAAAATTATTTTTCAAAAATGAGTGCTCTGTTTGCATGTACAACTTTATGCCAGAAGAGGGCATCAGATCACATTACAGATGGTTTCGAGCCACCATGTGGTTGCTGGGAATTGAACTCAGGACCTCTGTAAGAGCAGCCAGTGCTCTTAACCACTGAGCCATCTCTCCAGACTACCCTCTGATGTTTTTTTCTTTCTTTCTTTCTTTCTTTCTTTCTTTCTTTCTTTCTTTCTTTCTTTCTTTTTGTTTTTCGAGACAGGGTTACTTTATGGCTTTGGAGGCTGCCCTGGAACTAGCTTTTGTAGACCAGGCTGGTCTTGAACTCAGAGAGTTCTGCCTGCCTCTGCCTCCCGAGTGCTAGGATTAAAGGTGTGCAACCCCATCTCCCGGCCTGAAGTTTTATTAAAACGGACAATAACAAATGAAGACACAAATGGTAACAGAGTACCCTGTTCAGCACCAGATAATTCACTTTTGCATGGAGGGGTGACTTCGGCTGGGCCATTCCTAGGATGACACAGAACCCTGCCCTGTTCCTTCCTGCTTCTCAGAATAACCTGTACCAGGGCTTCAAACATGGAAAGGGCAATATTAAACAGTTGAGCATCCTACCTCTTCAAGGTTAGGTCCAGGTGTCTCACACCAAGAACAAGGATCCAAAACATTGTCTAGTCCTAGCCCGTCATTTGCTTTTTAGTTGGTTTCTATGGTTACGTGAAGACAAGCCACGATTCTGTAAGGTTACCTGTTAATTAGGCCTTTAACGTGTTTCTTGAGCCTTTGTAGTTCTTCTTTCTTGTGGGCATCCATTGTCTCCTCGCCCCTCAACCGAGGTGGGATGTACTTTTCACCACTTTCACCACAGTGATGCTCCTTGAAGACGGGAATAAAATTGCAAAAAATTTACAGTGGACAAATCAGGTGCTTTTCCTCGTTATTTATTCTTAATACTAACCGCATGAGGATTTGGGGCAGCCATCATTACAGGCCACCGCTTTTTAACTAAGTGAGGCTCTACTGAGTGAATGCCTGGGTCGGCCTTTCCCTCAGCAGGCTGTGGCTGCCACCGTG